TGAAATGATATCTTTTTGTAGTGTTATTTGCATATTCTTTTTCTTAGACATTTGTGAATATTATTTTCCATTCTTTAGTGTTTTTTTTCTTTCTTAATACAGTCCTTTTATGCACAAAAGTTTTTAATTTGGATGAAGTCCAGTTTATTTTTTCTTTTTATGCTTAAGGTTTGGGCATTATGTCTATATAGCCATCACCAAATCAAAGATTATGAAAATTTATACCCATGTTTTTTTCTGTTTTGTAGTTTTAACTCATATTTATATCTTCAGTTTATTTTTAAATTTTTTTTTTAAAATTTGGTGTGAAGTAGGGGGCCAACTTTATTCTTCTGCTTGTGAATATCCAGTTGTCCCAGGTACTATTTTTATGGCTTTGGCAAACAGTCTATAATATCACAGATAAGAGTTAATGAAATGAACTAATAAGTTGAAAATTTAAATATATCTGTCCTTGAGAAATCAGTCTGCCATGTAACATCACAGGTTATCATAAGCCAAATGCAAAGAATTTCTGAGTTATCAAGGGTTGTAAAAGTTATCAGGGTCCATTAAGAGACAATAGATTTCAAGGCTATTTGGCAACAGGCCTTGACTCTCAGTTACTTTATGATTCAGAAATGGAGACAAGAAATTTGTCCAGTGAGATTGAAGTCTTCAAAACTAAATTCATCTGTAAAGTATTTTTAACTGAGTGTAGGGAGTTTTAGAACAAGATTAGCACAAAACCTAATTCGTTGCTGAGCTAGAGCCCCAAATACCAGAGTTCTTTATAATCCTTTTATCTGTCTGTAAAAGACTTCAGAATATGGTGCAAATTAAGAATTACAATAGGCTTTTAGAATTCACTCAAGATACTATTAAAGCATTGGGCCTGGAAGCAAGTAAATAATTTTAGCTAAGTAAACAATATGTTAAATAGGACTTTAAACTATGGAGATTTATCATATTAGTTACATATCACCAAATCTGTCTGACCCTTTGTATTGTTTGTGCTTTCATTCACTAATTGTAAATATGCTGGGACCTGGAACTAAAATATTGAGCAAAACACATGGCTCCAGGTAGGCTTCACAGGGCTTTAGTTTGACACCACAAATAATCATCAGAAGAATTCTTATGTAGATTTCTTTAGCTCTTTTTTTTTGTAGCTTCCTCCTCCCCAATGACATGTAAATTACAGGTTATATAGGGCAAATATCATGAGACACTGGGTTGGATGTATATAATAAATCATTTCTTCATGTCTTTGCCAGCATCCCTCTGTCTACTTGTTACTGGGGCAAATGCATTTCAAAGATACATGCAGAGGAGGATGAGGTGTAGTGACAAGATTTATGAGAGCAAAAACAGAGGACTGCCCCCAGGTTCCTGATGTTTCATCCATGGCCAGGTGGCTCAGCTCAGTCTTGCTGCAGAAGAAGTCCAGCCTCGGGGGCTGCAACAAAACCAGGAAGAGACCAGAAGCCAGAGCTGCCTTGCCATTAGCCTCACATCCAAGGCTCTAGTAGTTCAGCACAGTCTCTGTTCCCATCTGTCCAGCTTTCCGTGCTGCGCATCCTCCTCCTACTTGGTTGCCACACTCAGGCCCCTGTGGCTGCTATGAAGAGTCCCTAAAGCCTTTGTTAAGCTTTGATTATATTACATTGGCCTTAGGAGAGAGTTGGTTTTCTTTCAAACTATCTCTGTCCTTTTTCTTCCTAGGCTTGTGCTGGCCCCTCCCCTTACCCAGTCTCTTTCCTGGATCTTCTGGGGTTCCATGCCGTTATCCTATCTGATTTTTTTTTTCAAGCTAACCTTCTCCCCTTTTTGATCCCAATTTTGGCTTCTAATGTGCATGCCTCACAGTTCTGTTTTGTCATCTGACTTGTACTGCACATAAGCTTAGTGGAAGGACCTCCCCCTGCCCATCATGGCTTCTACTGTGCATGTGCCCAGCAAAGGAATTTCCCCCCTGGGCTGGTTCCACTCTAGCCTCCTGGTTTGCAGGAGCAGATTGGTTGTTTCCTAGGGAGATTGGAAAGCTGTTCACTCCTGCCTGCTTCTGCATACTCAGGGACTTTAGTCCCTTTGGCTTAGGATGTGGATGTCCCCTCGGATGTCTGTGAAGCTGTGGCTTCCTAGTGAATCCCATTTAATTAGATGTCTAGCTCCATTCTTTTTTGTTGATACCTAGCTTGCTACCTATGCTAACAGAATTATGGGAAAGTAAACAGGGGGTCATTCCACCTTAGGGCTCAGGAACTGAAACATAATTTAAGTCAAGATGTTCATTCTAGCCTCCTAGAGGTCTGAACCATGTGACCCTTAGTCATGTCTGGGTTTACTCTCTCCTGCTGCCTCAGAGTTGCTGATTATCTGGGCAAAAGACTGAGTGGATGGGGGATAATTTCTAGAGCTAGGATTTAAAATTTAATCAGTTATAAGGACCCTCAGCTTCACTCTTTGTTGATTTTGTAACCTTCAGAGATCATAGTTCTCTGCTGCTTATTGTCCAGCATTTAAATATAGTCATTTTATATAATTTGTTCAGTAAGTAGTAGACTCTGAATTGTGGTCCTCAGACTCAACAGAGTATAAAATTGAAACCTCAGATTAAGTGGGTTGTTTGTAGATAGGCAATATTCATCTGGCTCAGGAATGCCTGGGCATTGACTCTGTCAGCCCCTCCTCCAAACACCCAGTAAGATGTGGTTTCTTGAAACTTAGTTTGACTTAAGAATAAGTGGCCCCTGATGTTTATAAATACTTCTTATTAGAAGTAGGGATTGTGTGAGTTATTTGTGAAAAAAAGAATAAGCTGTAAGTATAAAATAAAGAAGCAAGAAATAACATTACCAGCAACTGTAGCCCTTTGTTCTGCTGGGTTAGTGGTTTGAGAGCCAAGGAAAACTAAATTGAGATGAGCTACATCTGCTTTTTCTTTGTGTGGCCATCTTGCTTCAGTTTGTTCCATGTCGTTAGCTAAACAAAGTAGGAACCTAATCCAAACTCAATTTGATCACATTTTCTGTATTTCTCTCTTTTACCTCTTCTCATTTGAAAATTTTATATTTGTTTTTCATTCTTTAAATGCCTTTTCTTGAAATTATAGCATACAATTTACTTGACAAAGTCTGAAGTAACTACCTCTATCCTGGTACAACAATGAATGCAAAGATTTTTAAATGCTTTAACTCGGATCCTTTCCATGTTCATATATCATTTTGTTGTTCAGAACTTCAGTTCTAACTTATTTTATATCTACCTTCACTTCAATATTGTTATGATTGCTTTGAATAATAATGCTGTTTAGTTACATGTATACATTTACTAATGTATTTCATCATCATTGCCTATTTTGTTTCTTTCAATGGTTTCGAGGTCTTTTCTTAAATTATATTGTTAATAGCTCTTTCATCTATGATGCAAGAATAGTAAACCTTGGAATGTGGAAAATATTACTTATTTTCCTTTTAGCTTTTTTTGTTTATGAGAAGTCTGTTTTCATTCCAAAATTCTTTAGTTGTTAATTGATTTTTGTTTACAATTTGGTGGGTTTTAAAATTATCTCTTTTTCAGTTTCACTGTTTCTAAGTGTGATTAGTTTTATTTATCCTATTTGCATTCTTTTTATCTTTTCTTTATCTATTCATACTTTTCCTCATTTCTCAATTTTTAGTGGTCATATTTTGAAATATTGTTTTCCCAACCCTAAATTTTCTCAGATATTTCTTAGAATAATTTTTATTAGGTGTTTTCTGACATCTCATTCCAACATACTTTATATTGTTACTGTTTTTCTTTTCTTTGTTTCTTTGTGTGGTTTTTGATTTTACCAATTTTCATTAGCTTTGTCTATATTTAATTCACCCACTGAGTTTTAAATTTCAATTATGTTATTATTATTAATAAATTTAATTTATTTAGCATTTCTATATATAAAGGTTTATATAATTATTTTTATTTGTCTTTTTTTGTTCCATAAATCCCTAATCTTTTTAATATGTTTGTCACCTCTTTTTCTTTTTTTCAACATTTTAAAAACTCTTAATTTAAATAAAAAATTAGTTTTAATTGTTCTATTATATATTTTCTTGTTGTGTCTTCACCGATTTTAGCAGTCATTCATGAAGACTGTCATTCATGGCTTTGAAGTTATTTATATGTTTATTCTTATCTGCAAACTTGACTTCTCTGACAATTATTTTTTGTGGTGGTGTTTCTCCTATCCTTTCTTTCAATTGTGGAAGCTTGTCTTATTAGATGATTGTGAACTTTCTAGTATACACTGTCCATAAACCCATTTTTACACTATTATTAATTTGTCAGGTCTCTGCAAATATATATGGCCCAAATTTGAGACTTAGCATTCTGATCTCAAATAATTCACTCTGTCCTACCCTCAGACTGGAACAGGAAGTCTCTTTTTTATAGAATTCTAACCAGACAAGTTCTGGTATTTAGGTTTTTATTCAGCAATATTATGTCTCCCAGCTTTCTACAGTTAGCCCAGACTAATCTATCAGTCATGAAGGGCCTTGTGCATAAGCTTCCATCCCCACTCAGGTATCAAGGTGTGAGGTCTCCATGGGCAGTACTTGATCCAGCTCTCTCATGATGGAATGTCAATTCCATTTTACTAGTAAGAGTTCTTTGTCTTGGCATCTAGAGATTTACTATCTTTGCTTTCAATGGTATAAATTAACATTTTTATTATGTTATACATAGCATATCAAGTGTTAGGAAGTGGTCAGATAACTCAATATATGATTTTTAAAAACCATATAGTCTATTTTTAAAGTATTTAATATATTGATTTAGGTTAAGTTAAAAATAACTTACAATTTTTAAATGTTCATGTCCTCATTAAAATACTATTATAATTGTTAGGATTTGTTAATGCTAATATATTTTTGCTTTTATTTTAGTATTGTCTAGTTCATATATTTTTTAAATAACCTGCTGCCTTTATTTGTTTGTTACATTATTTAAATAATTACTTTTGTTAATTTTCATAGAATGAATCTTCAGGAAGAATTGGATAAACTTAAAGTGCATATATCTATTGACAAAGCAACAATACAAGAATTAAATACATGGATAGCAGAGAAAAAAGAAGGTAAAATTTTTGTGAGAATAAATATGTAGACATTTTAAAATTTCTAGTTCGTGATGTTCTATTTTCAATTTCATCTAAGAATCTTACATTTCCCCCCTTTCCCATGGTTTTGCTGGTTGGCATCTCATTAACATCACTTCTCATGAGAAAATGAAATAGAACATCTAAAAGTCAGTAAGCTTTTAACTTATTAAAAGTTCAAGTAAGACTTTTATAAGGAGAAAACACAATTTGTTTTTATTAATCATTGATAAAATTTTATTAGTTATCTTTTGTTTAAAGTTTTATAGATAATGTAGAGTTACTCTACTCAATATCATTATTTTTGTTTGACATACTTTTTTTTGGAAATTGTCTAGAATCAAAATTTTAGGGTTAAAATGAAACTGGGGTATCTGCAATTTTGCAACCAGCCTGCCGAATAGCCTAAATATATTTTGTAAGAAGGAATGTATTCTTTCCAATGCAAATTTGTTCCTTTGTTAAAATCAAGATAACTATATTTACTAAAGACTTCAATCCATGCTTTAGTACCTTGTTAGAAAAAAAGTAAATAAGTTGATTTTACAGGATTTCTTTTTATTTAACCTTGCTACAACTTAATTGTTAACAGGATATGTTTTAGGATTGACAATGTATACTTACTAATTTTTACTTAATAAATTTTCATATGCCATTTATCTGCCTATTGTACCAACTATTGTTCCAATTGCTCTCACCAGTGACTTGTCAAGCTCAATATTTTAATCCCTTTATTTTACACCATTGATTTATATCATATTTCAAGCTTACTCTTTGATTTCTGAAACATTGTTTTTTCCCCCTGTTTTACCTTCTACTTTTCTTTCCTCTACCTTTTCAGTCTTCTCATAGAATTTATTCCTATTTTTTCCCCTTAACTATTGGAGTACTCTAATACTTTAACCTTGGTTTACTTCCTAAAAATAATACCTCTGTAGTTTTTGGAAAAATTAGACATATTTTTTAATTATACTTATTTAAAAGCATTCAAACAATGAGAAAGTATAAAAGGGGGGGGGGGACAAAGAAAGAAACTAATTTACAAACACTTAAAAATTAGAATTCCAGTATTAAATAACTAGGGGCCCAGTGCACAAATTTGTGCCTGGGTGGGGTTCGGCCATCTACCCTGATGGGGGCCCATTGGGCTGGACTGGCGGGTAGTTGGCAGCTGACCCCTCCCCCAATCAGGCTGTTGAGGGCCGATGGGTGGCTAAGCCAGAGGGGGATGGGTAATTGGGGCCCAGATCAGTCTGGTTGGCTGCTGCAAGTGCACGTGATAGCCACTGGTCACAGCAGTCCTTCTGGTCATTCTGCTCTTCTGGTCTCTGGGTTTTATATATATAATCAAATCAGAAAATCTCTTCATACTAATATAGAGATAAGTCTAGTTAGAAAAATTAAATAAAATGAACAATATATGCTCTTTTTAGGAAAATATATTTGCATATATTTTACTTTGGATCAATCAAATAAAAACAAACATGCAAAAGTAAAGGAATTGTTGTTGAACTTTAGATAAACATTTGAAAAATCTTAAACTTCTTAAGCTAATTAATTTAAATGTAAAATAATAATTAAGATATAATAAAACACTTGAGTATGGAAAATACATTATTTAAAATATTTAAAAATGATGAGTTGAAGGAGTAGCATAAAAGCAATAAGAAGAATTAGAATAGTATATTCAAATCTTCCTAACCCACCCCCCTAAATTAATAGAATTGAGGAGCCTTGATTAAATACATTTTATTTTTAAGGCAAAGAAGCTTCTTTATCGGATATAGTTTACAGTGAAGAAAAAGCAAAACAAAAAATCAACAACTCCTACACACAAAACTGCTACCGATTCTGTTATTCTCTTAGCTCTCTTTTTAGAAAAAGACAGTTGAAAGTATTAAGACATGTTGAAAATTAAGTTGAAAATGCACCTAACCTACCAGACATCATGGCTTGGCCTAATCTGCCTAAAATTAGAACACAATATTCAAAAAATATTAGCAACACAATGCAGAACAGAGTACAGTTGTTTACCCTTATGAATGTGTGCCTTCCTGGGGGCAACTGCTCACTCTCATTATCTAGAATCAGAAGAGAATATCATACTGCATATCACTAGCCCAGGAAAAGATCAAAATTAAAAATTTGAAGTCCAATTTCTGCTGAATGCATGTGGCTTCAGCAAATCAAAAGCTGAAAAATCAAGTAAAACCATTATTGTAATTGATGAACCATCTATGCTTTCGTTGTCCTTGCACAATAGTTATGGCTTGTAACAATAATGGCCTACTTCTTTTTCAAAGTTAACTGATTACATTGATTCCCTCCAAGGCTCCTGTCCAGATAAAGTAAAAGAGGATGGATTTGTACTCAAGAAAGATATGCCAAGTACCACAGTCATCTAATGAATGAGATTCTCTCCTGCCCATCAGTAACAGGAGTTATTTCTTGCTCTTCCAACTTCTCTATTAGTAATTGGACCTTTTTTTCATTAGCTTAGGGTTACTTCTCAGAGATTATGGGTTCTAAATATTGGTCTGATCTACATTTATCTTGCTTAGGAAATAATGTTTAATTAAAAAAAAATTTTCATGGCAGATCTTGCTGAATATTTATATATATACTAGAGGCCCATTGCAGGGAGATTCCTACAAGAACAGGGCTTCCGGCGGACTTCCCGCTTGCCACTGCCACCTCTCCCCCTCACCCCCCTTGTGCTTTCCCTGCTTCCTCTACCCCTCACCCCCCACCCCCTACCCTGTGCTTTCTTCCTGCAGCCGCCCTCGTTTTCACTCCCACCACCACCACTGCCTGCACTTTCTCTCCCGCTGCCGCCTGGTGCATTCCCTTCCCTCCCACCATCTCTGCCCCCACCCCACACTTTCCCTCCTGCAGCCACATCCCCACCCTGTGCTTTTCATCTCATCACCACTGCCCTATGCTTTCCCTTACACTTCTGCCCCACACTTTTCTGCCACCTGCCACCACCCACCTTCACCACCCGCACTTTCCCTCCCATAACTGCCTTGCTTTCTGCTTTCCCTCCCTCTTCCTTCTATACTATCTTCAGTCTTCTCTCCTCCCTCCCTCAGTGTGTGCAAATTAACCACCATCTTTGTTATGTTAATTTGCATACTCTGATTGGCTGTGGGCGCAGTGAAGGTAAGATCATTTAGAATTTTCTTCTTTTATTAGTATAGATACTAGAGGCCCGGTGCACAAAATTTGTGCACAGAGGTGTGTGTCCCTCAGCCCATTTAGGCCTGGTAGGGTTGGGCCTAAACAGGCAGTTAGAAATCCCTCTCACAATCCGGGTCTGCTCACTCCCAACTGATCGCCTTCCTGCGTTCCTGATTGTCCCTAATCGCTTCTGCTTGCCAACCCAATCACCCTCTAACCACTCCCCTGCCAGCCTGATAGATGCCTACTGCTCCCCTCCCAGCCTGTTTGCCCCTAACTGCCCTTCCCTGAAGGCCTGGTTCCCCCCAACTGCTCTCCCCTGCAGGCCTGGGTCCCCAATTGCCCTTCCCTGCAGGCCCAGTCACCCACAACTTCTCTCCTCTGCCAGCCTGGTCACCCCTAACTGCCCTCTCCTGTAGGCTTGATAGCCCCTAACTGCCCTCCCTTGCAGGCCTGGTCCTTCCCAACTGCCCTCCCCTGCTGGCCTGTTCATCCACACTGCCCTCCCTGGTTGGCCATCTTGTAGTGGCCATCTTGTGTCCACATGGGGGCAGCCATCTTGTGTGTTGGAGTGACAATCAATTTGCATATTACTCTTTTATTAGATAGGATAGAGGCCTGATGTACAGGTGGGGGGCAGCTGGTTTGCCCTGAAGGGTGTCCCCAATCAGGGTGGGGGTTCCATTGGGGTATAGGGTGGCCTGGGCAAGGGGCCTGTTGTGGTTTGCAGGCCAGCCACGCCCCCCAGTGATCCAAGCAGAGGCCCTGATACCTGGGATTTATTTACCTTTTATAATTGAAACTTTGGAGCCTTGAGAGAAGCCAAGCCTCCTGCTTGCTCCTTGGCCACAGCCATTTTTATTGGGATTTATTTTTTTATAATTGAAGCTTTGTTGCCTTGAGTGGAGGCCTGGGCTGTCTAGGGTATGTGGAGAGCTGGCTTCCTCCATTGCTGGGGAAACCCAACCCTCCTGCTCACTCCGTGGCCACAGCCATCTTTGGTAGGTTAATTTGCATGCTCGCTTTTGATTGGCTGGTGGGTGTGGCATGTGGGTGTAGCTGGAGTGATGGTTAATTTGCATATTGCTATTTTATTTTATATATATGCATATATATCCCAATTTATTTATCAAAACAGTACTATGAGTTTTTATTTACAACTCTTCTGATAGAGAATGTATGAATGTTTTCCTCTACTGAACAACCATTTCTCTGGTTTTCTGAACACCAACTCAATATCCTACATTTTAGTTCAATTCTATTCTGTTCTGCCCAGAATTCACAGAGACTCATGAAATATATTTTTCCAATTCCTATCAATCTGTGTGTGTCTTTTGATCTGAAATGAGTCTCTTGTATACAGCATATGAAGGTCTTGTTATATTATCCATTCAGCCCCTGTGTGTTTTTTATTGCAATATGTATTGGCTAAGCTTGCAAAGGCCAACCTGTAAATCAAGGATGGCTGCCACTAATGCTGCTCCTAGTACCACTTTTCATTTAAAGTAATTATTGATCAAGATGTATTTATTACCATTTTTTATTCATAATTTTGATCTTTTGTTTTTCTTCTTTTTCTTAAAAAAGACCCTTTAACATTTCTTGTAATACCAGTTTGGTAGTGATAAAATCCTTTAGCTATTTTTTGTCTGGGAAATTCTTTAATTTAATCTTCAATTGAAAAATTATATTCTTGCTGGATAGAGTAGTCTTGGTTTTAGGTGCTTGCTTTTTATCATTTTGAATATTTCATGCCAATTTCTTCTTGCCTGCAAAGTTTCTACTGAGAAGTCATCTGACAGTCTTATGGGAGTTCCCTTGTAAGTAACTAATATTTTTTGTCTTGCTGTTTTTAAGATTCTGTTTTTGTCTTTAACCTTTGACATTTTAATTATAATGTGTCTTCGTGTGTCTTCATCTTTTATAGGACTCTTTGACCTTCCTGAATGTATATGTCTTTCATTCACCAGGCTAGAGAAATTTTCCATCATTATTTTTTTTAATAGGTTTTCAATCCCTTGGTCTCTCTTTTCTCTTTTGGTACCCCAAGATGTGAATGTTAGTACACTTGAAGTTGTCCCAGCAGGTACTATCCTTATTTTTATTTGGATTCTTTTCTTTTGCTGGTCTTTTTGCTTCCTTACTTCCATATTACAGATTTGATTTTCTGCTTCATCTACTATTGATTTCCTGTAATGTATTCTTCATTTTATTTATTGTATTCTTGATTTCTGACTGATTCTTTTTTATGTTTTCTATGTTAATTTTATATTTTCTATCTTTTTTGTTGAAGTTCTTACTTAGTTTCTCTATACTTCTCATAAGTTTATTAAGCATCTTTGTAACCAGTGATTTGAACTCTGCATCTGGGAGACTGCCTGTCTCTATCTTATTAGTTTTTTTTCTGGAATTTTATTGTGTTCTTTATTTGGGACATACTTCTTTGTCTCCTCACTGTGTCTGCTTCCCTGTATTTATTGCTCTGTAGAGTGTGAAACTGTTATGTCTCTCGGCCTTGGTCGAATGGCCTTATGTAGTAGGTGTTCTGAAGGGCCTCCTTGGTAACCTGAGCTGGGTGTTTCAGATGTGCCTCTTGTGAGAGCTGTGTACTTCTTCCTGTTGTAGTTGAGCCTTGATTGCTGTTGACACACCAGTGGGAGGGATATATCCCAGTCTGATGGGCTACAAGGACAGGCTTGACTACAGTGGAGGAGCTGCTCTGTAGGGGTCAACCCACAGAGTCAATGGGGCTCTGGTGCCTGATAAGTTTGCCCCTTGAGTGTGTCACTTGTGGAAATAGTTGTGTGGTACTTTGATGTGGTCTGAAACTAATCGCTGGGTACACTTTGAGGAGGTGCAGGTAAAGGTCAGCTACTCTCTGTGCCCTGCCCAGGACCAGCCAGCATGTGCTACAGAGCTGTCTGCAGAGGGTTTCTACTTGGGCTAAGCTTGCAAAGGCCAACCTGTAAATCAAGGATGTCTGCCACTAATGCTGCTCCTAGTACCGCTTAGCAAGAAGTATGGGGCATGTCAAAGCCAGATGTCGCTTGTTTGGGGCTTTGTGAACCTTTCAGAAATTTTAGGACAGCTGCAGCATGAGCCAAGACAGGCCATTTATATGGAAAAGCCACTAGAAACAGACTGGGTGAGCCTGGCATGAAGGTTGGGGAGGAGACAGGTATTTCAGGAAATCACCAGGGCAGAGTGAACAGTGTTCACCTGGTTGTTGGAAACTCAGATATAGTGCTCTTTAGCCAGCTCTTTGTGGGGAGGGCTTAGAGAGGAACAATTGCCTCTGCCAGCACTTCTGTCTGGGAGAAAGCTGCCCCTTCAGCTGTTGCCCCAAAGCCAGACAACTCAGTTCCTCCCAGTATATCCCTTGCACCTTTTGAGCTGCTGTCCCAGCGCTGGAGCTCAGAGCAAGTGAGTCCCAGTATGTCTTTTCATGGGCCTTTTAAGAGCAATTTCTGGGACTTGAGCAGCTCTTCCTCATTCTCAGCTACAATCCCCACTGATTTTCACAGTCAGAGGTTATGGGGACTTCTCTTCCTGGCACTGGAACCCTGGGTTGGGGGTTTGGTGCAGGGCTCTGACCCCTTCTCAGGAGAACCTCTGCAGCTGTGATATCCCTCCTCATTTTTAATCACCACAAAAATGGTGTGGGACCAGCCTATTCAGAATCTTCTGAGCCCCTCCTATGAGTCTCGATGTAACTTCTTCTTTATATATTTAGTTTAGAATTTAGTTTAGCTAGACTTGAAACAGTTCTGAATGATGGTTGGTCTATAGTTGAGTTGTAATTTTGATGTGGTTGTGGGAGGATATGAGTAACACTTTTACTACCATCTTGACCAGATCAATTTAGATTAATTTTTAATGTAATCCAAAAGAATTAAGAGAAAAGAAAAAACATACAAGCTGGAATAAAATAATTGTAAACAACTAAGAATAAGCAAATCTAAAAGTTAAAAATAAAGAAAGTGGAGCAAGATGGATATCCTTAAAAAATAATATAAATCAGAATGTATTTTTATAGTAGTAATAATAAAAGGAAAACATATAGAATAAAATTTAAAATATAAGTCTCCAGCTGAAACCAGTTTGGCTCAGTGGATAGAGTGGTGGCTTGTGGACTGAAAGGTCCCAGGTTCAATTCCAGTCAAGGGCATGTACCTTGGTTGAGGGCACATCCCCACTAGGGGGTACGCAGGAGGCAGCTGATTGATGTTTCTCTCTCATTGATGTTTTTGGCTCTCTATCCCTCTCTCTTCCTCTCTATAAAAACTCAATAAAATATATATATATATTTAATATATATATATTAAATAAGTCTCCGGTAAGGTGATTTCCACTTTAGGAGAAAAAATTGAAGTATATATTTCTAACTACTCTTTGTTCATTTTCCAAATCATGAGATCCTTGACAGGCAAAAGAATCAAGGAGCACGGTGTTGGTTTCTTGCATTTCTCCATGCCTAGGCTTAGCTACTCGAATATTCTCTATAAAACTCATGAATGCGAGAAACTTTTTAGCAAACAACAATAAGTGAACATGGTTAGCCAGACCACCAGTGGGCTTGCTCATACCCAGGAGCACATAGGAGCAACCAAATTTATTTCTAAGTCAATCTTCAGCCTTTATTTTAATGGAGTTATTTAATCATTGTTAGCACTCTATGTTCTTTTAGTATAGGACTATTTTCTTGATATTCTTGACAGTAAATGTCACACTTAGAACTCTAGCAGATATTTAAATGACTATAACAGATGAATAATATTTGCATATTATTTTTATATTCCTGAAAGAGTGTTGCAAATGAATTCAGCAACATAGTGCTAAGGGACTAGCAAAAGAAACTTGGGAACCAATAGATTATTATCAAGGTAAAGGTACATATTCCCCAGATGGCAAATTCTACCTATTCTAGCTTTTATTTTCCTTAGGATAGTGTTCTATTTATTTCATAAGTACAGAAGTTTTAATTGGATATGTCATGTTTCAAAGACAAAAGAAATGCCTAATTCACTCTAACAAACTTGTTAGTCACTGTTTTATACCAAGAGGATTTCTACTCTATAGAGAATGATATTGTTTTCTTTTTCCTTTGTTGATAAATCAAAGTTTTACACTGACCTGTAGCAGCCATGCAGACTTTAAAGCAAAATCATTTCCATCTAACACAGATACGTATTTTCTTTTAGGTTTATGTATTCTTTTTCTGTCCCCATTTTTATTCTTTGAGAAATATTTTATCCCAAAAATAGTTCAGTAAGAAGATGTTAGTTAAATGTGTTATAGTAATTTATCTGATAACAAAAAATGTATTTATAGATTTTAATGCATTTCAATCTTAATATTATCAACTGAAGTTTTATGATTTTTATTAAAGTTACCATGTTGCTTATATATTTTTGCTGATTGAAAAGGTTTCATAGTCAAATGCATGGCAAGTATAGGAATGATTTATAGAAATAATTTAATACATTACCTGGATTTTTATTTATTATAAAGTTATAGGTTTTCTGTAAATGTGTATTTATAATTTAGTCTGCCAAATGTATGATCTTTTATTTGGGAAAAAAGGGATGGTAGGTCATGTTACAGTTTTAGTCTACCCTAATTCTGTTACTGTTTGCTTTGTTCAGCAATCACTCTGATCCTCCTGGCAGAGAACAAGATCCAGAGAACAAAACAGTAGTGACTTGTGTAGATAAAAAGGCCATGAATTCCGCTTTTAAGGCAAAGGGGGAATAGTCTACAAAAGAATGAAAATCGGAATAAAAGTACAGCATTGTTAACCTGCAGATCTGTTGTACCTTTGAAAATCTTACACTGCAAAAAAAATTTTTTTTTGACGCTAGAAAGATACATAATTATGTGACTGAAAATCTTAAGTTCAGCATTTATTTATTGGCCATATAGTTGACAATAAACTAGACTGTTCCTAATTGAAAAACTGTAGAACTCTTTTCCTTAAAATTACAGAACAGTGTTTTAGTAGTGAATAAGGTGCTATAATATATTATTTATTGTCTATCAGAACAACTCTTTAGACAAGGAGAAGATGATGGGGTCAAGAAGAGTCCTCCAGAGAAGAATGGGAAAGAAATGTCGGAGCAGACATTACAGAAGGTAGTCTAATCTTTAAGATATTGAACTGAGCACGTTAAATCTGAATTTTAACATAAAGGATTATATTTTAAAACCAGGGTGCATGAACTCAAACCTTGTGTGAATCCTTAATTTAAATTCATAATGCAAAATTATTGACTTGCCAAAATGGGGTAAAAAAAATCAATGTTAGTGAAATAAATGTGGAAACACTTGTGCTTCTGTTGACATAGATTAAAAATATTTGTGAAGGTGAAATGAAGAGAATTACAACCATAGAAATTATAAAAATTTTCATTATGTGTTTATTAGTTATAACTAAGATTTTTACTTTAAAATGGGACTATGAAACTCTATGTTATTCACTTCAGCAAGCATAGAAATTTATAATATTTGTACTAAAAATATGAGACACTTAGCTTCAGCACAGTAAAATGATAATATATTTATAATTATAAACTTGGAAATATGACTCAGCTCATTTTAGATGAAAATTTATACCCATATTATTTAGTATAGTTACTCCTATTTTAATAGAACCATCTGTGTAAATAAATCCTATAGTTACTTTACATAGTATCTATCATTAATAGTAAAATGTTATTTAAACATCTTAACATTTCTCTTTATAGTTTTTCATTTAATTTATATGTTTGTGTATAAATACATTTTTTATCAAGTTAAATTAAGTGGGGTCGGTTGCGGTTGCAGTTTTATTATTGTTACAAAGAAAATGTTATTTAAATAGGTTTATTCTTATAACTGATTATCACTTGGCTACATAATAATTAGATAAAACTAACCTATCAATAGAAATATTAATGTGGCTACTTACATTTCTTACATCTGTGAATTAACTTGTAGGAAACCTAGTGATTTACAGCAGATGATGGATTTATTATATTGTACTTCTAATACTTGCCATATGATCAGGTAACAAAGGCAGTCATTTCATTTTTACTGAATGATCATTACCAGGTTAACATAATAATAAATAGCAGGAAGTGCTCACATTTATTTACTTTAAGGTAAAATGAGTAATTGAAATAATGTATATACTATCAGTTAGAGTGCTAGCTTACACTTTATCCTACCTTACCTTCTTTCTTTCAAAATAATATTTTTGTTTGCCAGGCTTTGTATAATTTTTATCTATATGGATATAATATAGTATTATGCTACTTCTTACTGCTTTGGGGTAGAAACCCTAAAGAAATCCATAATTTCATTTCAACTATTATAAATGACTACTAATGTTGTGGACTCAGAAATCCATTTAAGTACTAAAATGCCAACAATTATTTTCATTGGACCATATGTCAAATTCACATACTAATTTGTCACTTTTTTTCTATATTAAACTAATGTAATTGTCTAAGTCATGATTTAACCCCTTTTAGTTGAATTACCTTATTTTAAAAGTATGTTCTTTGTGGGTGGTCTCAAATTATTTCAAACTGAAATCAATTAAAGCCCAACAAGCTTAGAAAGAGTGTTTTTGTTGGTTTGTTTTGTTTTTCTTTTATCTCCCTCTTTTCTTCTTGGAGATTCAGATAGAAAAAGCTTCTTCAGGCCAAAACCGGTTTGGCTCAATGGATAGAGCGTCAGCTTGGGGACTGAAGGGTCCCGGATTCGATTCCGGTCAAGGGCATGTACCTTGATTGTGGACACATCACCAGTAGGGGTTTGCAGGAGGCAGCTGATCGATGACTCTCTCTCATCGATGTTTCTAACTCTCTATCTCTCTCCCTCCCTCTCTGTACAAAATCAATAAAAAATATTTTTTTTTTTAAAAAAAAAGCTTCTTCAGGTAGGGAACCTTAGCATAATCAATCACCTGAGCATATTCACTTTAGCACATATGAATTATGATGGTCAGGAGGGAACCATGCAAATATCTGTTCACTAAATTTCCCTCTGTCCCATTTTTTCTGAGTTGCCTATCAATAATTTTTTGTCACTATCTCAGCTACCTATGAGTTTGCCTATTTCTCCTTTGAAATCTCAAGCTCCTCCCCTTTTTCCTTTATCCAAAATGACACATATAGTTCATTTTGCCACAATCTTTATAATTTTTACATTTATGTGAATTCCATTCCACATGCACACGTATTAAAATTTTATTTTCTTCTGTTAATATATGTCTGTTAATTTGATTATTAGTCCAGCTAGAAGCACTTAGGAAGTGGGAGGGAAATTATTTTTTAATGCCCTCACAATCTATGTGAAACTTATTCAAAATTGATTTAAAAGATTGTAACAACATGAAAACAATATTTGTGCACAATAGAAATGAAACTAGATTATGTTAAAATAATATATTAACATCACATACTGTTATGGGATGAATTGTGTCTCCACCCTCCTAAAACCCCACATCTGTATGTAAAAGTCCTAATTCCCAGTATCTCAGAAAATGACTGAATTTGGAGTGAGGGTCTTCAATGAGTTAAGTCAAAAGAAGGTGATTAGGGTTTGAGCTGTCGAGTCTGTAGTACTTTGTCATGGCACTCCTAGCAAGTATATAATACATACACATTACAAAGTGATGTGTGTTGTTTTTTGTTTTAAATGGGGCCATCATTTTGGTAAATTAAAAAAAAATTTCAGAATAGGAGGAAAAGTATGGAGTAGAGTTGATTCATAGCACACAAACCAAATGCCTTTAACAATTCCTCAGACTTCCATTCTCAAAAATATATTGAAATTTTTCTTTTCCATTTTTGCAAGTTTTAATATAAGTTGAAGAACAATTTTTGAGAGTATACCTTGAATAATATAAGCATGCTATGGACTTTCCCTTTCAAAGTCTTTGGAAATAGTTAACACACTTTATACATAATAGACCTTGACAGACATTTTACCATTAGTATATAAAATTTTTATGAGTTGTACTCCCACTTAAATGGATTTTAGTTAAAAGAAAAAAAAATTATGCTAATCTTCAGAATTGCAATCTCAAAATAAAGATGGTTATTTGTTACATTATATTTTAATCAAAAGTATAAAATTGATTTAATGGCTAATTCAGCAATATTCAATAGAAGTAATTTTATTTCAACTCAAGTAATTTTCTAAAATAACTGTAAGAATGAATAATTGAGATAATGATGATGATGATGATGTGATAAACTATAAAATTTACTGTCTGCCAAAAATTGTGGTATATGGTCATATAATAATTATGCACAAATTTGTACACCAGAGGGGTCCCTTGTGTTAGCCTGAGGGATCAGGCAGAAACTGGCTCTCTGACGTCCCCCAAAGGGTCCCAGATTGCGAGAGGGTGCAGGCCAGGCCAAGGGACCCTACTGGTGCACAATTAGGGCTGGGAGGGATGTGGGGGCATTGGCCAACCTGGGAGGAACCACGGGAGGGCTACAGGGCATGTGCATCCCGCCTCACTCAGTCCTGATCACAGGACCCCAGAAGCAAGCTAACCTACCTGTCAGAGAATCTGCCACCCTGGTGGTCAGTGCACATCATTATAACTGGTCAACTGGTCAACTGTTTGCCCCCTGGTGGACAGTGAATGTAATAGTGAGTGGTTGTGTGTCCTTAGCATATTATTAGCATACTACACTTCGATTGGTTGAACGGATGACTGGATAACTGGACACTTAGCATATTAGGCTTTTATTATATAGGATACTTATAAACCCACTCTTACCTCACAATGACCTGGGTGCCAGGATGTTCCTGGGACACAGGCGCTGGGTGCCTATGTATGCAAATTATCTGCCATCTTGTTTTGGTTAATTTGCATAGTCACTCTGATTGGCTATGGGCGTAGTGAAGGTACAGTCAATTTACATGTTTGTCTATTATTAAGTAAGATTACTAATTACTAGAGAGTCCGGTGCATGAAAAAAATTCATGCACTGGATGGGGGGGTTCCTCAACCTGTCCTGCCCCTTCTCACAGTCCAGGAGCCCTCCCAGGCAGGAGGCAACCCGGCAATCAGGGGAAGGCAACATCCCCATTACACTTCTGCTGCTGCCACTGCCGGCAGCACAAGCCTTGGCCGGCCCTGGTTACCTGATCCTCAGGCAGCCCTCGGTGGCTGGGAAGCCAACATCTGAGGCTTGCCTATGCCTTGAGCTGGCCTGGGCAGGCCTGGGCAGGGGTGGAGCCGGTGATATGAGGGAGCCAGAGGGCCCCTGCCCAGGCCTAAAGCTTCGGCCAGAATGTCAGGATGTTGTCATTTTTGTGTCGTTCAATGAACATTGTTTATTGAAACAAATGAAAAAATTTGATTCATATGCAACCTTTAAATAATTATACTTTAAAGTTATCAGGCTTTTTATTTTTTATTTTTGTAAAATGTTCTTTTATTGTGTAAACTAAGGACCTTATGACTATAAAAATTATATTTTTATAATTTAGCAATAAATATCCTTCATAATAATTTCATAAATAGGTCATCAGTTATTCATATGATTGTTAAATATTGAAGAATATGTTATTTTATTAATAAAATTTCTCTATTTACCTGTTTTATATAAATTGTTTTTCTCTGAAAAACAAAAACAAAACAATCATAATGAGCAGATTATATTGCCAAAGTAATTAGGATCTCAGAAAACTCTGCTAAGTTTATTAGCACACTTACTTTTGTGTCACTTTGTATAGAATTGTAACTTCTTTTTACCAACTGTCCTTTATTCCACAGATGTATTATTACATTACATCTGTGGAATAAAGGACAGTTGGTAATTATTACATTTTAAACTATGTTACATTTTATAATGTACCTGAGAAATTAAGTAATTTAGATTTATATTGTCCTTGTGTTTAATGTAATTTTATTTACTTACCTAAGATATGGTAATAAAATACAATGGATTATGTTTTTGGACTTCTAAAAGAATAAATGAAACTCTTCTGTTTAGGTCATTGAATTGGAAAATCGGCTAAAATCTTTTGAGAAAAGGTCGAGAAAATTAAAAGAAACGAATAAAAAGTTAATAAAAGAAAATGATTTCCTGAAATCCCTCTTAAAACGGCACCAAGAAGAGGCAAAGAACAGAGAAAAAGAGTTAGAACAACTACAAAAAGAGAGTAAAGATGTAGTAAAAAGCAAAGCTGACCTTCAAGTAAAAATCAGTGAGCTCGAGAGAGATGTCACTTTCCTAAGGAGACAAGTGGCAGAAACTAATGGGTTGAAAAACGAAGAGCTGATGAATTCAGTGGAGAAATTGCAGCACTCAGTAGATAAAGCTAATTCTGAGATGGCCACCACAGAAGTAAGATCTGGGCAATCTGATTGTAAAACAACCACTACCAAGGTTAAATTTAAAGCCGCCAAGAAAAAGTGCCCTATGGGTCCTTACCACACTGTTCTCAATCACTCAATCAAGGTTATGAGCAATGTGTTTGAGAACCTCAGCAAGGACAAGGACTGGGAGGATGTGAGTGAAAGCAGGTAAGACTCTCATTAACTTAGCTCTGTGGTGGGGACACTGCATATGTAAAGCACCAGCAAATGGAGATTGAATTTAAACTACTGTCGATTTGGTATTCAGAGAAAATACTGTCAGATCCTTTGAAATATCTTGGGAGGTCTTGTTCTGAGCTTATTGACTGAAATTTGCATGCAAAATTAGCCACAACTGCATGAGTATTTGAATAGGTGCCAGGAAACCCAAAAGGCAATGCTTGATTTCTTCCAGTGATGCTATTTTCATGCAGTCATGAGGCTTGAAATTGACAGTTTGGCAGGTTGATTTAATTTGCTGGCCCTTTGCATATTCACACTGACAGCTAAGGATTCCCAGGCAAGCCTACTAAGTCGGTTTAGTTATCTTGTGACATGCCAACCTGGGAGGAGAAACATTTTCCCCCTTAATTTAGTTAGATAAATTTTGAATGACCCATTTCAGCTTGTTACCAGATGTCTACAAGCTGTTTAACATCCTTTAAATTAAGAACCATCTTCACTAATTATTTCATGTATGTATTATGCAAAGTCATTGTACTAACTTTAATTGAATGATGGTTAAAATTTAGTTCTTTAAAGTTATAGCTCTGCAGATTCCTAGTCTTAAATTATACAACTCCTACTGAGTAGCAACAGGAGAATACTAAAAATCTATAAAATGTTCCCCTCATCTTTGGCTATATATTCATATGTGCACTTGAAGCACATCAGTGACCACAAAGACAAATGGATAATAAGACACCTCTTTGAGACTTACATTGAAGTTAAGATTGTCAGAATTGTTAACAGAGAAATTAAACAATTTTCCATAATTCTGATTCTAGGTGAAGTGGGGTCCTCTTCCCCACTGGGTGTTGCTGGGGGTGAAGTTCTTATGATATTCAGAGAAAAAGAATTTTCTGAAACTCACATGGGAGAACGAGTGATTTTTAATTAACTAATTCCATGGGCTTCTAGAGTCCCATTTTCCTTTCTTTGTCCAGTCATAGAAGAAGTATACCTGGGGTTTCAGTAAAGCTAAAATCAAAGCCAGCACCCAGAGTTTCCTTTCCAGTTTAGTATCAGACTAGTTGCAATCCATTGATCCATTATGTGTGGGGTCCATATGGCCATGGATGAATGGAGGGAAGCAGGAACAAAAGAGCCCGATAAGCCCAAAGCCATACAAGTCCCAAGTGTGACTTACAGCAGGTACCTTTCCTAGTCATCCCAGCTTTACTAGGCATGTGTCAATCATCCCTTTGTTGGACCCCTGTGGAATGTAAAGTTGGAGCTTTCTGATGAAACTGTCTGAATGACATGCTTATAATATCTGGCCTTCCCTTTGCTCCTTTCTTGTTATTAATAACTGGCTAATTACAATGGCATCAATTCTGTCTTGTTTTATAATGGCATATATTTCCTTTTATTTTCCTAAGTATTTTTTAAAAATCTTTAATAGTGGTATGTTTTAGATTTAGGATTGGGGGGAAAAATGGGGGTACAAAAAATATAACTTTATTTCTACCTTCTAAGTTCTTCTATCTGGGCTACCAATCAAATTAATATAGACAGGTTAAAAGGAGAACATATTCAAGATTTATTACTATGGTTGTACATGCTGGGCATATCGTAGGATATGAGACCTAAAAGGCATTGAACAAGTGAAGCTTATGTGCCATTTTGGACAAAGAAGTGGTTCCAAAGGAAATAGGTGATTCCAAAGGAAATAGGTGATTAACAGGTAGGAGAAAAAACAAACATATGGTCAGCAAATTCTTGCTGGGCCATCCAGAAATAGTGGGGCACAGAAGGAAACAGACTTTGCTAGATTTCTTTCTGTCTGTCACATATGTGCTAAGGTGAATATGCTGAGGTTCTCTTCCTGAAGCAGGTTTTTCTATCTGAATTTCTTTAAGCATAATGGTGGAGGATCACAGGTTCTTTCTGAGTCTTTTTTCTTAACAACTGGCTTAAAATCAATATCATAAAAGTCACATTTTGGGAAGACAAAAATTTGGTCCCCTCAGGATGTCTCTCGGTAATTTTCTTAAGCAGAGACATAGAACTGAAACTTACCTTAAAATGTAGTTCTCAAACTTGTGTGCATATTAGAATCACATGGGGGACTTATAAAAATTCCAAAAGCTCATGTCACACCCCAGGACAATTCATTCTTAACTTTTGGAGTGGGATACAAGCTTCAGTATTTTTAAAACTCTCCAGCCAATTCCAATATGTAGAGAAGTTTTGAAACCACTTTTTTTAAATGATCGTCAAGCCACTTGTCAACAGGCAGGTTATGAAGGTAGGTAAGAAGGACCAAATTTGCATTTCTGTTCTTTGTGACCTCTTCTAAGGTTTCCCCCCACCCTGTTCTCAAAAGCAGTTAGAGATAAAATACTATTTAGCTTAAAACCCACTAAGCATTTATTTATGTCTTCAAGGAAATTCTAGTTTCAGCTACTAATTATATCTCATCCAGTTGGTACTACCACACTCTTAATAATATTGTGATCCACTTTACTCATGTGTGAGTATGTGTGTATGAATAAGTATATGAAAGTTATATAATACACTCAATTCTAATTTTATCATATTAATGCATGTGCAGAAGTCACATTTGGGGAGATATATCACACACTGTCTCTTAAAACATAGGATTGTCATTTAAGTTATTGAACAGTGAAACTCAATTTTATATGGTGAGGATTAGTGTTCCATTTCTTGCCTGACGGAAAATCCTTAGGAATAATTCAGCTGCAAAGAATTCTTCAACAATTAGAAATCCCACAGTGGAGCCTAAGGACTTCAGAACATTCTGTTTATTTTAGCTTTTCAGAATCTGGAATATAAGAAATTCTTGGATACTTAGAAAAATAGAACTTTATCCTTTATATATAAATACTAATAAATACTAATAAGGTACTAATTATATATAAATATATAATAAGTACCTTATTAGTATTTATTTCCTGTAGTTGCTTAGTATTATAAGAGTATTCTGTCAAATGACAAAAATAATACAATTTACTAATGAGTTTAAAGTCCTTTATTCAGGCGACAACACTCATGGATTAGTGGATTACAGAGCCTAACAAGCGGTGGAACACTATTCCTGAGGGAATTTTGATAAGAGAGAGTTTTATAGAGCATTAGAAGAGGCAAGAAAGGAACAGGGAATGCTTGGCTAGGAGGCTGAGCATTTCCTAATATGGCTAGCACATCTTATTTTCCAGGGTAAGTTAAGTTAATTAAAGCTGAGTTGGAGGATTGTGATTGGGGTAGGTTAGATTTCCTTGACAGTGAAGTGTGGGGTGGAAAAATTAATTTTCCTTCTACCATTTGAAATTCTTCCAGCTGGACTAGTAATCAGATTGACAGGAGACAAATTACCAAGAGAAAATGTCTAAATATGTTAAATACGTACATACTGGGGTTCCATATGAATTTGGGTGTTGAAGTTTGGGACTTCAAAGGGGAGAAAGGTAGTTCATATGGAGATTGAAAAGCAAATGTTTGGTAAATAAATGCTTGCTGGGCCATATTTAACAACGGCACACAGTGAGGACTTTGATCAAACAGGCCTTCCTAGGTTGTTCCCTGTGTATCACACACTAATTCATATTAAACTATAGTTATCTATGATCATATCTTTCTTACTGGAGGAGGTTCTCTATGTAAATTCTTTTAGGCAGTAAGGTTTTTCCTGATTTTTTTTTCTTTGAAAATGACCAGTTTAAAATAATCAGTATTCCAAAAGGCATATTTTGGGATGAAAAACTCTGTTTTCCTAGGAGGCATTGCCCATAAGTGTGGCTGACTTAGGTTTAGATTTCTGACATGGGCCCTGCCACTGGAGCATCCTGCATTTTGTGGGTCCCCATATACAAATTTCCTTTATCAATGTCCATTCAATAATGGGTCATAATCAGGAGTTGTTAATACCTTAAATAAGAAAAACAAGTTCCGCAAGTATATTAATCTAATTTGTGGATAATATGCCATTGAAAGGGTTGGAGACTTTTTTATAAAACAGAATCAAAATCTCCAGTATCTCAATCATCTAGGAAAATACAATTATACACAAGACTATAGGCATTGAACTATAAAATGCTATTTGCTCAACTATACAATGGGGAAAATATGGGTATTGGCAACAGTGTACATAAAAATATTTTATGAGGCTTTGTTAAATCCTATATGAGTCTACAGTACAATATACATGCCAGAGAAGCTTACACAATTTTAGTCTGCACTTACCAGGAGTTTTCTAAGTATTTCTCATAGTACACTTTGATTATGAAATTAATTCTGCACATAAAGCTGCATCAAAATAAGTTGGAGTACATTCAAGAGTGACCAGGGTGAGAAAGAATCGCAGAAGCATTCATATTGGAAAAATATGAAAAAGCTAGAGATGTCTCAAGCATCATATAACTATTTAAAAAGTTATAAGATCATCCATGTGGAAAAGAGATTGGACTTACTACTATGTTCTGCTCAACCTCAGCACTTCTAAATCTTCCTTCATGTTTTCTCTTTAACATACTCTATTAACATACTATATATTTTATTTATTTTTATTTGTTACCTGTCCCCCATCCACCCCTCTCGTCCCACTAGGATGAGAGTAGGATATTTGTCTACTTTATTCACTTACTGATGCCCAGAAAAGTACCTGGCACATAGTTGATGCTTAACAAGTATTTTACTGAATGATGAATGGCCCTAAGAGATGAAACTGGGAGAAATGGGAGAAAGCCTCAGGAGTTCACATTTTGTTCTAGAGTGAGGGGAAACATTGTTAGAAATGTTAAAGCTTTCTGCTCTGGCTCAAGAAAGCAGTGATTACTCCAATCCTGGAAGTGATCAAACTGCTGCTGCCTGAGAAACACTTAGTAGAAATACTATAGAAATGATGCTAGTTTGTATTTGATCCTAGATAATCTAATTTCTTGATGAGATTTTATAATTTTCTAAAATATATTTAGACTAATTTTCTTTCTTACCACTGAAAACCAGTAAGTGCTCAAATTAAACTTCCAGTTTAAACGCAGTTTGTGCTATAATATTGTTTGGCCTTAAACTTAAAAGAGGTATATTTAACATCTCGTCTTGGATTTTATGTCTCCCTTTTATTCCCCAAAAGCAGTGATTCTGAAACACAGAGCTCTCAAAATTTGGGAACAATTATTGTAGAAACATCCCAGAAAATAAGTCCTATAGAAGATGGAAGAGACCAGAAAGAAAGCGATGAAATAGAAGACAGTCACATGCAAGGAAAAAGAATAGTACAAACATATTCAAAAACAAATGGCAAGGTCACAAAGGTATATACACATTTTTCTTAATTATAAGCCATGTTTTTAATTTTATTTTATGATTCATTATTTAAATCAGATTTTGTTGCCAGTGATTTAAGGTGAATTCTTAAAAATTAACTTATCTTGGAAATATTCAGTGTAGATAAACACTTTTTAGTATTTTCAACTCCAAAAAATATATATATTTTCAACTCCAATTTGTTACTACTTTTTTGTGTAGATAAATTGGAAATAAATCTTAAGGTATTTATATCTTAGCCCAAAATTAAAAGTGATAATAAGCTCATTATTATTTTCAAGTATATGAAATATACCACATGTGGAAAAATTATTATTTTATTAGACTTTGTGAGGATAAAGTTATTTAGTTTAACTAAATATATAAATTTTTAGAATTTATCTAATTTCCCAAAGTGTTTTATATCTTAAAATCTTATTCTTCCAAAAAATTAGTATTTCAAACAACTTATTAGTTCTTACTATGGATATAACATGCCACCAAAAGAATTATGTGTTCAGCATAAATCAGTGAAAAAACAGGAAAAATAATTTTGCTGTAAAAAAATAATCTTTTAACCTATAGGGTTCTTTTAAAATCAGATGCAAAAGTGTTTATTTTTTGAGGTCTCATAAGAACTTTGGAAGAAAAAGTTCAAGGATGACAAAAGTTTCTTTTAATTACCACGAGAATAAAGTCCAGATGAAGCATGATATGCTAAGTGTCTGCTGATTCATTGATTGATGGGTAAATAGGTAAATTTTATAGAAATCTCTATAAAATCTATTTTGCCACATACTATTTGAGTAGGAATTTTGTTTAGTTGCAGTCATGTATGTATAGCACAATGCATTTGTAAATAAAAGTAACTCATAATCCATTCATATAATAATAATATAGTATGAACTATTTTGAATAATATTATACACATTGTTTATAGTCAGAAAACAAATGTTAACCAAATACTAGCAATTTTGTTTTGAAAATATTAGATCTACTCTATAACCCCAAAGATAACCATCAATCCCCAACTCCTTTATTTTATCATTAAAATTATGATTAATTTAATCTGTTTTTTTTTATTTTATACATATATTAGTAGCCCATTGCACAGTATTGTGCTCAGTAGGCCGCCTGTCACTTCCATGAGCGTTGGTGGGAATCTCAGGGCGCAGGTGGGAGTTGCACTGCTTCTGGGCCTGTGCTGAGCCGCAGTGGAGGCTGCGGGGCTGCACCCTCTCCCACCCCAACCCCTAGAAGCGCTCTGCAGGACCTTGCTGTGGTGACAAAGCAAGCACCTCGCCCCAGCTGCTCCACACCTGCTGCCCAGAGGCCCTCCAGCAAGGAATCAAGCATTCCGCCAGGCGGCTCATGCTGCCTGCTCTCAGGACTGGGGGACTCCAGCGAGGCTGAGGGGACTGGGCGCTGCCATCTTTGTGATTGAGTGATGGTTAATTTGCATATTACCCTTTTATTAGATAGGATGTATGTGTGTGGGTGTATGTATGTACATATATATAAAGATGTGCAACATTATTAACAATTAGGGAAATGCAGATTAAAACCCTGATGAATCCTCGCTGTATGGCTCAGTTGGTTGGAGCATTGTCCCATACATCGAAAGTTGTGGGTTTGAATCCTGGTCAGGTCATATACCTAGGTTACAGGTTGGCTCTTAGGACATGGCTGGTACAAGAGGAAACCAGTCTAGATGTTTCCCTCTCCTCTCCTCTCCTTTCCTCCCTCTCTCCTTCCCTCTAAAACCAGTAAAACAAGTACCCATCAGTACATGAGTGATAAAAAAATCTGTGGTGCATTTACACCATAGAATACTATGCAGCCATAAAAAAGAAGGTTCTCTTACCCTTTGAGACAGCATGGAGGGACCTGGAGAGTATTTTGCTAAGTGGGTATGGGCTAAAAGGGTTCCATGGGGAAAAAAGGGGTGACATCCGTAATACTTTCAACAATAAAAATTTTTTAAAATATGATCAATAAAGCATGTTCTCAGGTGAGGATGCACATCTACTAGAATAGCTAAAATAAAGAATAGTGAATATACCAAATACTGGCAAGGATGTAGTGAAACTGGATCTCTCATACATTTCAGTGTGATATACAGTGGCACATCATTCTGAGAAATAGTGGGCAGTTTCTTCAAAAAAAGTAATCATACACTTATCATACAAACCAGCCATCTCACACTTGGACCATTTATTCCACAAAAATGAAAGTTTATGTTTACCAAAAAAACCTATACATGAATGATCATAACAGTGTTATTTGTAAAAGCCCCAAACTGGCAACAACTAAAACTTTCTTCATTAGCTGAATTGTTAAACTGTGATACATCCATACCGTGGAATGCTGCTCAGCACTAAAAAGTACAAATTGTTGGCACAATGTCTTAGCTTTGTTGCCTCAAATTTATCAGTTTGAGTTTGGACCGAGGCTTTTTTACCTGTCTGTGTTGATATTTCAATAGAATTTCAAGGTCAAAAGGGATTATCAGTTCTATATTTTGTTGTTTCTTGATTCCTGCTTTACTTCATTTTTGGCCTTAGGATTTCCCTAATTATTTACCATGTTACAAAGATACTTTAACTGTGTTTCAAAGTATGATTTTTTTTCTCAAGTCCTTTTTTTTAAAATTTTAGTTCTAGTTAACTTGATGCTAAGTCTAGTGACTAATAGTTAAATTTGTTAATAATGTTTTGGATCTTTTTACAGTGTTCAGTAATAGCACTTAAATACTAATTGAATCTTAGTAAAGCAATGAAACTTTTAAAAAATACATCTTGCCGAAACCGGTTTGGCTCAGTGGATAGAGCATCGGTCTGTGGATTGAAAGGTCCCAGGTTTGATTCCGGTCAAGGGCATGTACATTGGTTGCAGGCACATCCCCGTGGGGGGTGTGCAGGAGGCAGCCGGTCAATGATTCTCTCATCGATGTTTCTAGCTCTCTATCCCTCTCCCTTCCTCTCTGTGAAAAATCAATAAAATATATTTTAAAAATACATCTTATATACTGTTTATGAGGACAAGTTCAAATAAGACATTTCAAAAATATTTTGAGAGATGACATATAGTTTAAAGGAAAATAATTACTTCAAAAGAAAGTAACTCTTAGATAGGGGTTTCTGGTATTTGTGTTAACAAATCAGTTTTATTACTTTAGAACTATGATTTGTATATAATATAACTTATATATCCATCAACATAAAATATAGGGCTCATTGTCAAAGTAACATTGGGCCAAATTTACTTTTTCCTTTAATTTTTATGTATTTGTTCCTGAGTTGGGATCTTTGAAAAAAAAAATTTTAAAGTAGTTTAGATTAGTCTAGAGCAATATTGTTCCACATAGCCAATAAGCCAATAAAGTCTTAAATAAGAACACATATTTTATTATTAGGATTTATAATATTTGAAATAGTCTATTTAAATTTTTTCTTTGGGGAAGCTTTTTTAAACTGATGAAATATTTTGGAACAAAAGTCAACATTGCTTTATTTTATATATAACTTTAGTGTATTGAAATGTCATGAGGAAAACATGCAGCTTCAAGAAAACTTGCTTTATGATCATCAACATTATTTTAGCATCCTTTGCCAGAAGGGGTTCATCAGTCAGAAAACAGTATATGAGGAAAGAACCTAGATTCCCAGAGAATAAGTTATTAAATATTTTATTATTAAATATTTTATTTTTGTTGCTTTTACTATATTTCCCCCTAGGTTTATAAATGGTCCGTAGGTTAAATTATTAGTATTACTTTGTAGTTGACTCTTGTATTTGTATCTTCTGCCCTCTAGGTCAGGCTTAGTGTACACATTATGTTCATTTATGAGTTCTGGTATCAATTATAGAATTTTATTGTCTAGGCTTTTAACTGCATAAACAAATATATTTCAAGTAAATAAATATTATTTATCATATTAGCTCACTTGATGTTTTTGAGTAACAATCTAATTTTTATGAATCCTTCAAATTTAGGATTATTTTCATTACAAGAATGCCAGAAAGCCAACTTTTCAAAAGAAGAATGGTAATATTCAAAAGAGTTCATATACAACAGGTCCTAACAGAGGTAAGAATTCTTATGTAATTAATAGTGTCTTTGTGATTTATTGTGATTTAAAAAATATTATGAACAGCATTATTTATGTAACAGTTATATTTTCTCAGTTAACAGAGAAAAATTAAAATATGTATCTGCTCAGAAATCAAGTAGCAATGTTATTTTATTACGAGAAAGAATTATATCCTTGCAGCAACAAAACAGTGTACTTCAGAATGCCAAAAAAACAGCAGAATTGTCTATTAAAGAATATAAAGAAGTCAATGAAAAGCTCCTTCATCAGCAGCAACTATCTGATCAACGATTTCAGACAAGCAGACAGACAATAAAGGTAAAAGGAAATAAATTATAATAGACTATATTATAAAAGTATATATTTTCTTTTACATGTTTTGTTTGGTTCATATTTGTGTTAGACATATCTATGAGTTAAAAGTTTTTTCCAGGCACTACTAACTAACATAATTAGTTTAATACCTAGATTTCTTTAATAAGTTCATATTAAGGAACAACCTTTATTAGGAAGACAACTCCAAATTAAAATAAATAAACAAATAAATATATATATATAACTAGCATTCCTTTTTCACATCTGTCATTTTTTATTTTATATTTTTTGCATTATACCTTATATTTTAAATGCAGGCTACATAAATTCATATAGCTTGCCCATTTGCCCATGTCTAAAAGTTTGAATTTATCATTATAAATTACATTGTTAACTGACAATTGCCTCAGTTCCTATTTTCAAAAACTAGTTTAAAATCTGATGGTTTTAATATAAATATCTATATTAATATGTTTTTATAACTTATTTGTGATTCTTTTATTCAGGTTAATTGAATTTTCTGTAACAATTTTTAGATATATTATACATTATTGTTGGTTATCATAATTTAATTTTAGAGCAAATGAAAAAGAAAATTTTCTTAAGTCTTCATTCCTAAAGATATTTGTATAAGAAATGAATTTTGGAAATTTGTTGTTTTAGACAGAAGAATTCTTTTATACATTTTAGAAAGTAATTTTTAAATCACAATTATAAGATGTTTAAATTATACTTAGATTCTCTACTTCTAATATCTAATGCTTTAATTCAAGCAATACTCAGAAATGTTTTTTATTATAAAGGACTTAATATTATACTTGTTATACCAATAATAGGTGTTTTGGCTTTATTTCAAAGTAGCCTTATACCCTAACTTGATCTATGTTAGTCAATAATGATGTTCAACTCATTCATATCCTTGCTGCTTTTATATTATCTATTGTTAAAAGTAGTGAAATCATCCATTATTTCTTGTAATAACTTTAGTGAGACATAATTTACATATCATACAATTCTCTCAGTTAATTCAGTGGTTATTACAATATTGAAAAATTTGTGTGACAGTCACCAAAATCAATTTTGAACATTTTTATAACTTCAAATATAGACCCTGTACCCATTATCTATCATTCTTTTATTCCATCATCTCTCCTAGCCCTGAGCAACCACTAATCTATATTCTGTTTATGTGGTTTTACCTATTTTAGACATTTCGTATACATGGAGTCATGCACTATATGAGTTTTTTGTCTGGCTTCATTCATTTAGCATTATATTTTCTAAGTTTTTCATGTTATAGAATGTAGGAATTTGAAAATTTACTCTTCCATAAAAGCAATAAAAACAGGTAAAAATAGAATCAATATTTTCAGAACATTAGGTACAGAATCTAATCTTCTAAGTGTTACTGTAATAGTTAAGGCAATTAATTGATGACTTGAAATGTTTGCCTGATTACCCCTAACTGCTCTCCTCTGCCAGTCTGATTGCCCCTAACTGCCCTCCCCTGCTGGCCTAATAGCCCCTAACTGCCTCTGCCTTGGCCCCTGCCACCTTGGCTTTGCCCAGAAGACATCTGGTCTAATTAGCATATTACTCTTTTATTAGTATAGATTATAGCGACCTGGATAGATTAAGACCTATTTTAGTACTGGGAGATGGGTGGCATTTTAATATACCTAAAATTTGGAAGCAACCTTGGATAATGGGTAGCTTCTGGAAGAGTTTGAATTGCATACTGGAGATTTGAACATTAAGGGCATTCTGGAGAGGTATCAGATGGAAATGAGGGACGTGTTATTAAAAGAATAGAAGAAAGGGAATTCTTTTCTTGCCCAAACTGTGTTCTAGTGTTTTTCAGAAGGTAGAACTTGTAAGCAATGAATTTATATATTTTTATTAAGACCATAATCTTTTGGAGCTGCTCTAGGCTTACAGAAAAATTAAGGGGAAGCTACCAGGGTTTCCCATATATCTCCAGCCCCTATACATGCATAAATTCCTCGATTATGAATATTCCTCCCAGAAAGGTACATCCTAATATATAAAAACCCTGAGTCCATCACATCTGCAATGACCTGAGACTCAACCTAATGCCCAGATTGCACGTACAGTGTGCTATGGTGGGTAGGGACTTGTGGCAGCAGAGATGGGGACAGGGAATGCAAGGGAGCTGCACTCACTCTCAATCACAACCGCACACACGCACAGACACACACAGCACCCACCAGCTCACAGCCTTTTCTCCCTTTCTTTCCCTCCTGTCCAGCTTGCTCTCAGAGTCTCTCTCAGAATAAGGGAACAAAACAGACTGGGACTGAAAAGGCCTGGAAGGATGGGAGGGTGGTAGTGGATGGAGCGGCCTCCACTGGCCTTGTCTCCTCCCAGCTGGAAAAGAGGAAGAGGGATGCAGGGAGGCCTGGAGGACTGCTGAGAAAAAGAGAAACAGAGACTGGGTAAGCTCAGGCTGGCAGGGGAGGGCAGTTGGGGGCAACCAGGCTTCAGGGGAGGCAGTTGGGGGCAAGATTAGGGGCAGGGGAGGGCAGTTAGGCACCATCAGGCAGGCAAGCAAAGGCAGTTAGGGGCAATCCAACAGGAAGGCAGAGGAAGTTAGGGGTGATCAGGCAAGCAGTCAGGTGAGTGGTTAAAAGCCAGCGGTCCCAGATTGCGAGAGGGATGTCCCCGATTGAAGAGAGTGCAGGCTGGGCTGAGGAACCTCCCGCCCCAGTGCACAAATTTCATGCACTGGGCCACTAGTTTATTATAATTGACAAATCTACATTAATACATCATCATCACATAAAACCCATAGTTTACCTTACTTTAAGGCACACTCTGGTATTGTATATTCTTTGGATTTGAACAAATGTATAATGACATGTATTCATTTCACTGTCCTAAAAATCCTCTGTTCTTTGCTTGTTTATCCCCCTCTCCAATTCTTGGCAACTATACCCATAGTTTTGCCTTTTCAGGAATGTTATATGCAGGCATACCTTACAAATATTGGAGTTGGGTTCCAGACCACCATGCGAAAACAAATAATACAATAAAGAAAATCATACTTTTCTTGCTGGTAAAGGGTCTTCCTTTAATTTGTAAAAAATTCAATATCTATGAAGCACAGTAAAGCAAAGTGCAATAAAATGAGATACTGCTATAGTTGGAATCATACAGTATGGATGCTTTTCAGATTGGCTTCCTTCTCTTAGTAATAAGCACTTAGGGCTCCTCCATGTCTTTTCATAGCTCAATAATTTATTTCTTATAAAAATTTTTTATTGATATCAGAGAGAGGAAGGGAGAGATAGAAACATCAATGATGAGAGAGAATAACTGATCAGCTGCCTCCTGCATACCCCTTACTGGGGATCTAGACTCCAGCCTGGGCATGTGCCGTGATCAGGAATCAAACTGTGACCTCCCAGTTCATGGGTCGATGGTTGACTACTGAACCACACCAGCTGGACAGTAGTTCATTTTTTTTAATGCTGAATAATAGTACATTGCTTGGATATTCATAGTTTATTTATTCTCCTATTTCCAGGCCTTGGAAAATAAGAATAAAGCTGCTATAAACATCTATCTGCAGGTTTTTGTGTGCACATAAGTTTTCAGTGCTTTTGGATAAATACTAAGGAATGTAATTGCTGGATCATATTGTCAGATCTGTTTAGTTTTGTAAGAAACCAGCAACTGTCTTTCAAAGTTTGAACCATTTTGAATTCTCACCTGCAATGAGTGAGAATCCTATTGTTTTACATTCTCACCAGCACTTGGTGTGGTCAGTATTCTGGATTTTTGCCATACTAATAGGTGTGTAGTAATATCCTATTGTTGTTTTACTTTACATGTCTCTGATGACATATGATATAGCACATCATTTTTATGTTGATTTGTCATCTGTTTATCTTCTTTGGTAAGGTATTTGCTTGGGCTTCGCACCCATTTTTTAATTGGATTGTTTGTTTTCTTACTGCTGAGTTTTAAGTGTTCTTTGTATAGTTTGGATAATAGTTATTTATCAGATATGTCTTTTGCAAGTATTTTCTCCCAGTGTGTGGCAGAATTAGTCTTCTCTTTCTCTCAATATTGTCTTTTGCAGAGCATAATATATTCTCAATAAAAGGATGGAGTTTTTACCAAGTCACTTATATTATAATGCATATATTTTTTATCAAGAATTTAAAAAAAATTATTTTCTGCTTCAAAAATCTTCCTCTTTTCTTTACATCATTCTAAATCCAGCTCGTCACTCAAAGCCTGGCTCATGTATCATTTCCTAAATGTAACATTTCCCAGAGCCTTTCTTTTTTTAAGTTTAGCATAAAATAAAGCAAGAATCTGTTGTAATCTAATATGTCTGATGTAATAATTTGACATGTAAATGAAGTATAGTATAGGCTTTTGTGATTAGGAACTGGAGAATGAATCTGAAAGTTAGGAGTGGTAGAGCCAGATATGCATAGATCAAAAATGAATATCCTTTAAGGAAGTGAAGGCATTGACAATATTGAAGGAGCTGACTAAAAAGTGGACAAACCTGCCGAAACCGGTTTGGCTCAGTGGATAGAGCTGCGGACTGAAAGGTCCCAGGTTCGATTCCGGTCAAGGGCTTGTACATCGGTTGCGGGCACATCCCCGATGGGGGGTGTGCAGGAGGCAGCTGGTCCATGTTTCTCTCTCATCGACGATTCTAGCTTTCTATCCCTCTTCCTTCCTCTCTATGGAAAATCAATAAAATATATATATTTTTTAAAAAGTGGACAAACCAGCTAATAGATTAATAGTGTCATGAAAGTGCTGGAAGGTATGATTTTTATATGAAAGTTAGTAATGTAGTGGTATGGTACTTTCAGTGAGAATGGGGTGTACCATCTCCTGTTTGTTGCAAATCCTAATTTTTTATTGTATTGTATATATATTTATTAAATTATTTTATTGTATACATATTTATTAAATATGTGTACATGTAGTAGATGGAATATACAGTCATTTATTAT